GTAGGAATGGCAAAGGGTGTAGAATAACATCCCTCTATATATATATACATATATATATATATACATATATATACACACACACACAAATATAGGGGTTGGTTCAAATGTTAAACGAGAACGATATTATCACATATATGGAGTCCGGTTTAAACGAGAATGATGTTATTTAAGAAAATAAAAAAAACAGTCAAATCACGTGATTTTGCACTAACATCACGTACAAAATCACATGTAATTTACGCGACTCTGCCCCGCGACCTCATGACGTGGCCAAAGTCGCCCGTACACCTTTTTTGATCGTTCATGTAAAATCACATACGATTTTTCTTGTGATTTGGCTGCTTTCATACTCTCTTAAATAGTTAGCATTTTCGTTTGATCCTCCCTCTACATACGTATTACCTATACATGCATATACATAGTCAGTCCCGATTTTAGTGTTTTATGTGTGAAAAAGAAAACTTGAGGGTAAATAGAAAAATCACTACTTTTTGTATTTCCCTATAAATAAAAGTCACTTCCCATTTGTAATTTGCACCTGTGAGTTGCTTTACACTCCATCTCCAAATACTCTCATTTCATTTCCAATCATTGAAAGATAAATGGCCACGATTAGTCATATGATTATAATTCCATGTTCATAATGTTTTTCATATTGATTAATTGTTCTTCCATTTATAAATCGTACGTTTTGATCTAAATTGCTTCCGCCTTACATATTTTGTATAGATCATTGATTCAATATGAGATCTGGGATCCAACAATTAACATTAAAATAGATTGATTATTCATAATCAAAGCAATCAAATTTATCAATTTCATCCCATTGAATCCAATTTATTTCATCTCGATTTCTAAATTTCTGTTATTCATCGTTTTTGAATTGTTCTAAAAAATTTCATTCAGTTTTGCATCTGTTATTCATCGTTTTATACTCTATTTGTCACTGAGAATTTATCATGTGACATCTTTTTGTTCATGTATAAAGCAAAGAAAGTATATAACTATTTGAAGATTATAATATTGATTGCCAAAAGAATGAAAATGTGCTTTGTGCGCCTTAATTGGCCGAATCCAATCAATAATGAAGATTGTAATGCAAAAGTTGAGAAGTGGGAGAACCCTCGTCTATAAATAATCCATTAGTTAGTACAATAATCCAAGTCAAAGCCGATTTCATTCTTCGACTTAATTGACACCAAAATGACAAACTCTCACGCTCTTGTTAGAAAAGCAACGAACCTCTTCAAGTATCCATACAAGATTAACCATACCTCTGAGAAGGTTTCAACCACGTTTGTTCATGCAATCATCCATCCAAACCTGTTTTGGGTTCAACTTAGTTATTTTGTCATCCTTTCTTTTGTAGGATTTGTAGCTTTGAAGACCTTAGAGTTCAAAACACCATCATTTAAGCCTAAAGACATTGATGTTCTCTTTACAGCCATATCCGCAGTGACTGTTTCAAGCATGTCAACACTTGACATGGAAGTATTCTCAAATACCCAACTCATAGTTTTGATGTTTCTCATGTTCATGGGAGGCGAAATTTTCGTTTCTATGTTGGGACTTCAGTTCCGGAAGTTCAAAATCAAAAGTAGAATGATTAATCTTGGTTCTAATTCAAATTCTGATTCCACGGTTCGTTCCCTTGAGTGTACTATTGAGTTGGGTGTAAACTCAAATGATTTAGAACCTACTCAAAGTAAATCTTTTGATCAAAAATATTTGATGCATGAAGCAATTAAAAGTTTGGGGAATGTAGTCTTGTGCTACATTCTTGTTGTCCACTTCATTGGTTATATCTTGACTTACATGTATATAACCTTTAGTCCTAGTTCTAAAAGCATACTCATAAACAAAGGGTTAAGTAGAAACACCTTTAGCCTTTTCACCACTGTCTCCACATTTGCAAACTGTGGTTTCATTCCCACAAATGAAAACATGATGGTTTTCAAGAAACACTCTGGTCTGCTCTTGATTCTGATTGGACAGATTCTTCTTGGAAGCACTTTATATCCGGTAGTGCTTCAGGCTGTAATCTTGCTTCTGGAGAAGATAACAAAGAGGGTTGAGTTGGGTCACATGTTGAAATACTCTAAGGAGATGAATTATGATCAATTGTTGCCAAAGGTGCAATCGTTGTACTTGGGTATGACGGTTTTTGGGTTGATTTTGGTTCAATTCATAGTGTTTTGTTGTTTGGAGTGGCATAATATGGACGGACTTGATGGTTATGAGAAGGTGGTTGGGTCTATTTTTCAAGTTGTGAACACGAGATATGCTGGTGAGACTGTTTTTGATCTTTCAAAGGTTTCACCTGCGATCTTGTTGGGCTTCATAGTTATGATGTAAGTCCCCCCCCCCCCCTCTCGACATAGAATACTTTATATGACCTAAGTTTATGAGTTTTGTAGTTATGATGTATGTTACCAGAGGTCAATGCATGACGGTAGAGGATGGTTACGTAAACGGTGTGGTGCATATATAAATTAAATGTTAGTGGAAAAGATAAAAGATGATGCGTCAACATCTTATTGGAGGAACATAGAGTGAATATGGGAGTGATAATATGAGAAATTTTTGGGTGTTTACACATCACAAACATCCAATCAAAAAGTATAATTTTGTAAATACAAAAAACAAACCCTTAAGCCATCATAATAATATAATATAATGAAAGGAACATCATGATATTTGGTCCCCCCAAAAAATAACACTATTTGACAACTTGAATGTTATATTTGCCTTTTTCTGCATGCCCACCCAAGAGATGTATAATACTTTTGCACATATATTTTGTTACATTTGTTTTTTTTTTTATGTAAATAACTGTAGTTTTATTTTTATTTCAATTCTTTTTATAAGCTGAAAGATGAGTGTTTAATGTATACTTTTGCAGGTACCTTCCTTCATCAACAACATATTTGCCAGTCCAAGATCAGGAAAACAGCCAAAGAAGTGATCAAAAGAAGAGTTTTGTGGAGTGTTTTCTATTTTCACAACTCTCTTATTTGATCATGTTTACAATTTCCGTTTGTTTAACCGAAAGAAAAAAGATGGAAGTCGATCCCATCAACTTCAGTGTGATTAACATCGCTTTTGAAGTGTTCAGGTAAGCTTAATGATGTGTTTCAATTCAAACGTAGCATTATCGGAAAACAAAATTAAGCTATAAATCCTAAAAAATCGACTTTTTGTGGACGAATGGAGCAATGTTAGCTTGATATTTTGTTGGTTGATTGTAGTGCATATGGAAATGTTGGATTGTCTACGGGTTATAGTTGTCAACACCAAATCAAACCTGATGAGCATTGCAAAGATGAATTGTATGGATTTGTAGGAAGATGGAGCAACAATGGGAAATGTTTGCTTATTCTGGTGATGTTTTTCGGAAGACTCAAGAATTTCAACAAGAACGGTGGTCGATTCTGGAAGCTCTCATAGAATATGTATGTATATATACATATACAAGAATTTCAACAGCAGAAATTATATATATATATATATATATATGTATATATGTGTTTGTATGTGTATGTGGGTTGATATATATCTTTCCTATGGAAAAACTCAAAAACGTACAATTCGTCAATGATAATGGTTAGGAAGTGATAAAATGCTAATTAATACTCTTTATATGTGGATTTACGCAGACAAGTGTTGTCATTTGTTTATTAGAAACTTGCCAAAAAGGGAAATAAGATATAATCAGCCCTAATTGGCATTTTACCCATTTATATGAGCCCTAATTGGCTTTTTATACCCATTAATCAAAATCCTGTCTCACACCTGCACATCGATCGGTTGCAAAGTTGGCTTACAAACAAAACCGGTTTATAAGACACCAAAAATATTAACTGTTTTAATAAATTGTTTTATATAACCAAAAAAATAACACTTCATATCCAAATGTGTTACAATAAGTAATAGTTAGCTTTTAGACGTTTTAACAAGTTTTTAAATATTTTAAAAATAAAAGATCATATTAGTTTATTTTATGTGACACTTTATTTAAAAAATATACACTTCAAAAAACTTGTTAAGATCTCCAAAAACATCTTATATAAAGTAGTCTCTTAAAGTATTTAGCCATTTTTAGTGTGATATGAACCTGATTTTATTATAATGTCATCTTGTTTTTTCCAAATTGAATCTTGATCATGTGGCACCCTGCAACTTGATACACACCCGACTTCCCAAATCATTGAAATCGTTAATTTCACTTAGTGCTACGTATATCCCATTCTTTTTATGTGAAATCAAAGTGATCTCTATGGTCCCTTACCCAAGTCGCCATGACACATGCATTGGGTGACTGTCTGTAACGTCTCATTTCACATATTGTATGTAACATATACTTCACATATAAGAAAATACATGTTTGTACACCACAAGGTCCCTTACTACAAAAATCTACTATTACAAAATTCATGATCCAAAAATTCAAAATACAATTCCTGCACTAATCCAAGTTCATTTATCAAAACTATACATATCATCATCCACTCTTCATACAAATAAACATATAGGGAAATTTTCACATTTTTCATTTTCCTTTACCTTTAGCACTTCTTGCAATACATATTTAAAATCACAAAACAAGGGTTAGACCGAAAGGTCTAGTGAGTTATCCTATTTATGTCATTGCAGGGTGATAATCACCAAAAACTTATGTAAAACAACATTTCATATATATAACAAATATATGAATCAAGTAAGGGTCTGGTACTAATACCTTTTTACTTTTCAAGCCAAATTTCTCTGCTGGCAAATAATATATCAAATCCAAACAGGTTTATACTAACCAAATAACATAATGCCACTTTTAAACTTTTTTTTCCATTCAAACAAGGTTTATTCAAAGTTCAGGCCAAATCTGTTATCCCCTTCTCTATAACATTCAGACTATGATTTTCAATAAGAACCATGATCCTAAATCTTTAAATCACAAAGAAATAAAGATTCCAGACCACAGTAATCTTAAGGGATATGATAGTAAGAGTTATATTATATAACACACACATACAATTGCCACCCTTATATCCAAATGTACATCTCTTCTTGATATGCTACTCTTATTCCATGGTATACATCTCCTTGATATACCACCCATATCACATGGTACATCTCTCCTTGATATACCACCCTTATTTCCTCATCAAAACATTTAACAAAGCAATTTCATATACAATTAGACCGCAGTCAATGGAATTATTTTAATCAGTTCAAAAATCATCTTTTTCAAAATTCCCCTTTTATATATAAGAATAATTATATATAAACCATGAATAAGTCAAAATGCAAATCCGGTCAAAATAGACTTGGTCGGACTTCATCTCCGGTCAAGTCTTGGCCGGTTTACCACATCCGAAAAACACATCGCTCAGGGCATCTCCAGTGCATGACACTCTACCAGAGTGTCATGGACTGCCACATCAGCATTCCACTCACCATACAACTCTATCATTTTATACCCACACTCCATAACACTCCAATGAATTTAATGGATTTCCACATCATATATATATATATATATATTATCTATAAATATAATTTTACCAACAAATTTAAAAATCTACTAAAAACAAGGAATAATAATTTAAAATGAAAATGAAACGAAATTAAAATACATTTAAAAAAAAAGTACGAGACTAAAATACATCAGTTGAAAAGTACCAAAGCTAGAAAATAAAATGCTTAAACACCAAATAATTTAAAACTATAAAACCTAAACGCATATTAAATAAAAAACGACGATGCCTACAAATTATATTTTATTTTGATCTCTTCACAACAGTTCCTCCAAATCTATCGCCCCTCCTCCGACATAGTGCTGGGATCCATATAAAATATCTTCATCTCAGCGTTCTTGATTTTTTGTTTTTTCAACTCATTTTTCGTATCCAAACTTTGTTGGTACCGTTTAAAGTTTTTATTATTTTCGACCATATGTTTTTCAAACAGCTCATTATTGATTAATAAATATCATATTATAGTGTATATATATATATATATATATATATATAATATCATAATTAAATCCTTACAAATTTAATTAAAAAAAAAATAAAGGGTCACATTTTCCTCCATGATGCGTGTCATCCCCATTGAACTCCCCTCCCATTACACTCTCCATGACACCCTTCACAATGCATGAGGGGTGTCATGGTTCCCATTACACTCTCCATGGCACCCCATTGGAGATGCCCTCAAGGCCTGTCCGATTTAACACTTAAGAGAAAATTTCATCACTTTTGTCTGGATAACAAATTCGGACAACACTAAGCCCCCTTTTTGTCCGATTTAAAATAATCCGCTCATCACATGGTCGTATTCATACTTCTCCGTTCAAAATATTTAATTATAAAATCAAAGTTCATAAATCGCTCAACTTTTAAACCGGTTAAGACATGTCCGGTTTAAAACTAAATCCCATAACACTTGAGCGGTTTATTAATAAATCGCTTACTCTTTGTCCGGTTTAAGACTAAGCCGGTCAATATAACCAGCGATTTAGTCTTAACCCGCTCACGTTTTGTCCGGTTTATAGCTAAATCGGACAACACTTGTCCAATTTATGGCTTAAATCGCCCAACCCTTGTCCGGTTTAGATCTAATCCGGACAACACTCCTACGGTTTAAACATCAAACCAGATAAAAGTTTATACAATCAATTTATACAACTATGAAGAGTTAAAAAAGGTATTTCAAACCACTCACCTTGAAAGGCTTTTGAAAATCAGTCTTTTGAAAAGCTTAAATTGAAGTCTGGTCAACACTTCTTTTTCTTAAATCGCTTAATGAAGGTCTCAAAAATAGCAAGAGAAGTGAATGGAGGCCTCACCTTCCTTTTATACTTTCCCTTTAGGGAAAGTCGGCTACTACTCACACACATAATGTGCATGTATACTCATGTATACATATTCACATACATACCATATTATACATGCATTTCACTTTAACTCACCACATACACATATATATTTATATGCATACATACATATAAATATATTTCACATTATGCATATAATTCACATACCCACATGATCAAATGTACAAAATTATCATGTTGTCATGTAAATACAAAATAATAATCACATATTATTTACCTCAGGTGATAACCAAGATCCAGTTATCACATTATCCACCCCTCAAAAGAATTCCGTCCCGGAATTCCTTTAGTCAAAAAGCCATGGGTATTCTGACCTGATTTTCGACTCCAATTCCCATGTCGCTTCTGGTCCTTTGTGAAACTTCCACTGTACTTTAACCAAATTAATTTTTTGTTTCTCAACACTCTGATCTTTCGGTCAATTACAGCTTCCGGTGTTTCCACAAAGTTCAGCTTATTGTCTAGTTTAATCTCTGGAAGCGGTATAGCTAGACTCGAATTAGCTAAACATTTCCGCAGATTCGATACATGGAAAGTGTTGTGAATCAGACTTAATTCTTCTGGTAGCTCTAACTGATATGCCACTGGCCCAATTCGCTTACATATTCTGAATGGTCCAACATACCTCGAACTGAGCTTACCTTTCTTTTCAAATCTAATGACCCCCTTCCACGGCGAAACTTAAAATCAAAAAATCACCTACACAAAATTCAATCGGCTTTCGACAATTATCAGCATAACTTTTCTGACGATCTTGTGCTGTTTTAATTCTTTCGTGGATCTGTTCCATCTTCTCAGAAGTCTCTTGGACAATTTCAGGACCCGTCAGCTGCCTTTCACCTACCTCGTTCCAACACAACGACGTTCGATATTTACGTCCATATAATACTTCATACAGTACCGCTTGGATGCTGGAATGATAACTTTTGTTATATGCAAACTCTATCGATGGAAAATGATCTTCCCACGATCCCCCGAAGTCAATAATACAACTTCTCAATATGTCTTCGAGAGTCTGGATAGTTCTTTCACTCTACCCATCAGTTTACGAATGATAAGTTGTGCTTAGTCGAATTTCAGATCCCAAAGCTTTCTGCAACCCTTCCCAGAACTTTGAACTAAACCGACTATCTAGATAATGGAATACCGTGTCTGGTTACTATTTCTTTGATATAAATCTGTGCTAGCTTTTCTAAAGAGTACTTTTCTCTCATTGGCAGAAAATGTGCAGATTTAGATAAACGATCCACAATTACCCAGATAGCATCATACCCCTTTGGAGTTCGAGGCAACTTCATGGCGAAATCCATTATAATGTGGTCCCATTTTCATACAGGTATCTCCAAAAATTGAAGGCTTCCATACGGCTTTTGATGTTCAATCTTAACCTGTAGACACGTTAGACACTGTTCCACATATTTGGCTATGTCTTTCTTCAATCCGGGCCACCAATAAAAAGATTTTAAATCTCTATACATCTTATTGGTACCTGGATGAATAGAGTATGGGGACTTGTGACTTTCATTTAATATAGTGTTTCGGATATTTCCAA